AGGCGCCGAGCCCACATATTCTTTACAAAGGCACCAGGTAAGACACTCAGGGGTTCCTGCCCTCACAGAGCATCCAGTATAGGGGGGAGATGGACCACAAAAGATTCATCACACACGGGGTGGTATGCCATGGAAGCAAGGGTGTGAGGCAATGATGTGGGAGCCCTGGGCCAGTGACCCAGGGCAGACCTTCCCATTCTCTAAGCCTCAGAGTCCCCACCTGGTCTGGTCCAATGTAACAGATGACACAGTCTTTCCAGCTTGGATGCCCCCAGCTTTAGTTGGCCGCATCTGGTCTGGCACAGATTGATACTGTGTAGCTCTTGAAAACTGTTTCCCTCTCTGTGCTTCAGTTTCTCCCCTATGCAGAATGTGGGCTTGAAGGTGCTGGATAGTGTGAATTCAAGCAAGACACACTGGACCAGGCAGGCTCAGTCACTCCTGACACAACCTTGACCACACCGGTGGTCCTGAGTTTGGAGCAGCCTGCATCTCCCCACTGAGCCAAGAGTCTGAGCGCTGGCGCTGCTACACCTAGGCTCCTGAGCCCCAACACTCAGGGCAGAACAGAGGCCTGAGAGTCTTTCCCGCTGTTAGGGTCTTGGGATTTGAGGAGCCAGGAGCTTGCACTGCAGTCCCAGGGGAGCCTCAACAACAAAGGCCTAGTGAAGGTCTGGGTAGGATCCAGGTAGGGACTCAGACTTAGGGTTGGCTCAAATCAGGGATGCATGCAGAATGGGTAAGACTTGCTGAGAGTTCAGAACTGGCTACAAAGAGAGTTTCCAGCAAGCCCTATAGCCATCTGACCCACTGGCACTCATACATGCCAGGCTCTGTGCTCAACACTTGAGTAGGCTCTGCGCCTGTGGCTCAAGTGGCTAAGGCGCCTGCCATGTACACCCAAGGTGGCGGGTTCGAATCCAGATGGCTGCAACCAAAAAATAGCCGGGCGTTGTGGCGGGCGCCTGTGGTCCAAACTACTTGGGAGGTAGAGGCAGGAGACTCGCTTGAGCCCAGGAGTTGGAGGATGCTGTGAGCTGAGATGCCACGGCACTCTACCCAGGGGGACAGCTTGAGGCTCCTGTCTCAAAAAACAAACAAACAAAAAAAAACCAAAACACTTGAGTAAAGGATCTCAGACAAGCCAAGCATGGTGTCTCCCGCCTGTAATCCTAGCACTCTGGAAAGCCAAAGAAGGTGAATTGCTTGAGCTCAGGAGTTCTAGACCAGCTTGAGCAAGAGACCCCTTCTCTACTAAAAATAGAAAAACTAGCCAGGAACTGTGGTGGGCATCTGTAATCCTAGCTACTTAGAGAGGCTGAGGCAAGAGGATCACTTGAACCAAGGAGATGGAGGTTTTTGTAAGCCATGACCCCATGGCAATCTACCCTAGGTGAGAGAATGAGCTGTGTCAATAATAAAAAAAAAGAGTTGGCTCTGCGCCTGTAGCTCAAGTGGCTAAGGCACCAGCCACATACACCAGAGCTGGCAAGTTTGAATCCAGCCCAGACCTGCCAAACAACAATGACAACTACAACCAAAAAAATAGCTAGGTGTTGTGGTGGACGTCTACAGTCCCAGCTGCTTGGGAGGCTGAGGCAAGAGAATCATTTAACCCCAGGAGTTGGAGGTTGCTGTGAGCTGTGATGCCACGCACTCTACCCAGAGCGACAGCTTGAGGCTCTGTCTCAAAAAAAATAAATAAATAAAATATAAGAGTCCTACCACTCTGAGAGGCTGAGGTGGCTAGACTGCTTAAGCTCACAAGTTCAAGCCCAGCCTGAGCAAAAGCAAGACCCCCTGTCTCTACAAAAATAGAAAAACTGAGGTGAGAGGATTGCTTGAGCCCAAGTGGGAGGTTGCTGTGAGCTATGACACCATAGCACTCTACCCAGGGGGACAGCTTGAGACTCTGTCCCAAAGGACCAAAAAAAAGGTCTCAGAAAGGTTAAGATGTTTCTTGCAGCTGATTTCCAGAGATACACACCAGTATATATCTCATCCCAATTGCTCTTCACATTAATACAATGTAACACTGACAGTCTTCCAACTGAGTGTCAGGGCGTATGTTCCCTCCTCTTGAACCTCAGAAGATCTTTGTGACTGCTTCAACCAATAGAGTATGGTGGAAGTAATACTCTGTAACTTCCAAGGGTAGGTCATAAAGGCAGTATGGCTTCTACCCGGCTCACTCACATAGTCATTATTCTCTCTCTTTCTCTCTCTCTCTCTCTCCCCCAACCTCTGACCACTCACCCTTGGAATCCAGCCACCATGTTGGAATCCCAGGCCTCATGGAGAGGCCACGTGGAGGTGTTCCAGCCAACAACTCCAGCTTTGGTTTCCACTGCCCACTAGACCTGTGAGATAGTGGCTCTTCAGATGATTCATCCCCCAGCTTCAGAGCCACTCCGGCTGACAAGTAGAACAGAAACGAGCTGTCTCACAACCCTCCCTAAACTGCAAAATAAATATTATTGCTTTAAGCCACTCAGTTCTGAGGTCATTTGTCACATAGCAGTGGGTAGCTGGAATGC